CCGTGCAAGCCGGGCTGCCGGCGGCCGTGCTGTCGCTGGTCGCCCTGCAGGCCAGCTCGCGGAGCTGGGCCGGCAGCCGCAGGCTCTGGGCCGGCGGCGAACTGAAGCTGCGCGAGGACCGCGAGGCGGTCTCGGAGGCGAACCTCGCAGCGGCCAGGCGAGGCCCCGAGGACGGCGCCGCTGCCGCGGGGGCCGCCCAGCCAGGGCCGCCGCCGCAGCTTGGAGCGCTAAGGGCTGGCGGCCTCGAAGTCGGGGAATCCGTCCCCCGCGGGCCAGGGCGGTCGCCCGCCGACGCCGTGGCGCTGTGCGTCGGCTGGCTGGTGCGGCTACCCGCGCTGATGGGCGCCCTGGAGGAGCTGCGCGGACCGCGCCTGTTCTGCCATTGCCCGCCTGCGGCGCCATGCCGCGCGGACGCGCTGCGGGAGCAGCTGGCGCGGCGCGGGCCAGGCCAGCGGCAGCCCTTCAGCCCGCCGCAGCGCGTAGAGGCCGCGCTCAAGATGATGTGTCACCACTCTGGTGCTGACTTGCAAGTCGACGTCAGCGTTGAGGCGCTCAGCAGGGTCTTCCCTCGGCAGGAGGTAGACACCGTGCTCCGGCACTGGAAGACAGCAAGGCAGATCGCGCGGCGCGACCGAGGCCCGCACTTCGGCTTTCCGCAGCGCGAGGCATCGGTGATGGCAATGCGCGGGAGAGCCCAAGCAGTCGTCCGCCACGTAAAGGTATTCCTCCTGCTCCTCGACAGCACAGTCGGCATCGACGTTCTGAGTAAGTGTCGGTCCAGCAGCAAGCAGCTCAAGGACCAGCAGTAAGCATCGGTGGTGCGCGTCTTGTCGGTACTCGAGCTGGCGATGGGCACGCGTGGGGCGTTTGGCTTCGCGTCCTCAGCCAAGACCAGCGCATGCCCCGTCGCGCCTAAGGGGGTCAGGCGCCCCACGCCAGCCCTGAGGCGCGCCGCCCGAGCCCAGCTGGGCGCCTGGCGGGTGCGCGCGCGACTTGCAAGGCGCACAGTCGGCACAAGGCCTTGCCAGCAGTTTGTTGACTGTGCAAATGCCGCGCGGACTACTGCCAGTGGCGTCGGATGATATGGACCTTTGCCCTCGAGGCTATCTCGAGCACCTTTGGAGCACAGGGGCGACCGCACCTTGCAGGCGTTGCACTCAGCAACGCCCAGCACATGCCTCGCTCCAGGCTGCAGGTGCCCGGCGCATGGCGCCTCTTGTCATGTCGAGGCCGCTTCGAAGTGTCCAGCCGCGCGTCGCCGATGCCAGCGCGCCCAGCAGCTGCCTTGGCGCCGACTGGGCCTTCGTGCGCGATCGCATAGAATTTGCCGCATGTGCGCTGTCAAGCTACCACCTGTGCCTGCATGAATCACGCACTTGAGAACAGCCTTGAAGCTCGCACAGATCGTCTCATTCCCCGGTGCGAAGACACCGCGCCAGGGGCGCAAGAGAGAACATGCCAACATATACCCCTACTGGGACAGCCAGCTGCACAGACAGCTCGCGGTGGATCCTGCAGCAAGCTGTGACCTGACGCATGTCCAGCTTTCCTCGCCACCTTCAAACAAGCGTTGGCAGGCATTGGCTGTGCGCACCATCAGCCGTCGCCTTATTGCATCCGGGGCGTGGCGCTGCTCACGCGCATCTCGCCTCAAGCGGTCTAAAGAAGATGCTACACAGAAATGGAGCCCTTCGCGCACAGCCAACACTGATATCAAAGACGGCGCAGCCGTTTTTAGCAGAGACGAACTCAGTCGCTCTGCTTCCGCCACCCTGGATATGCGGTCGCAGTCTTTTGTTGCTCGCACGCGAGCATCGTTCGGCTAGGGCCAGGAAAGGTTCGGGTGGAAAGCTGCTTTCAGAGGACAGAGAGAGAGAGAGGCAGAGATGGGCTCGTCGCCGCCAGCCTGCACCCTCGCCGACGGTCCTGCTCAGCGCTGCTTGCGTGGCCGAATTTGGGGCCCAAGAGCAGACTTGGCGCGAGGTGCGCGCCCGACGCAGCCGGTCACCTCGAACCGTGTTGGGGGCTGGCCGTGCTTGGGCCCGCGAAGGAGACTTGGCGCGAGGGCTTGTTGACTTGGCGCGAGAGCTCATCCTCCTCTCGACAGCTGCGTCATCGTGCTATGGCCATCGTAAAAATGGAACAAGGTGCTCTCGCACACTGCCGCGCGACCCCGCCCCCAGCTCAGCCATGCAAGCGTTTACGGTAAATGAATGAGAGGGGCAAAGGGGTCGAGGCAGACACGGCCGCAGAAGAGAATGCAGGGCATAGTTGCAATTGCCCACCCTCAGCCGCCCTGGCTCGCTGTGCTGGACTGTCCTTGCTTGTTTTTCTGAGCAAGACTCGCGAAAGCTGCTTTCAGAGGAGAGAGAGAGAGAGAGAGAGAGAGATGGGCTCGTCGCCGCCAGCCTGTGCCCTCGCCGACTGTCCTGCTCAGCGCTGTTTGCGTGGCCAAATTTGGGGCCCGAGAACGTGGTGCGAGGTTCGCGCCCGACGCAGCCGGTCTCCTCGAGCCGTGTTGGGGGCTGGCCGTGCTTGGGCCCGTGAAGGAGATTTGGCGCGAGGGCTTTTTGACTTGGCGCGAGAGCTCATCCTCCTCCATCGTGCTATGGCCATCGTAAAAATGGAAGAAGGTGCTCTCGCACACTGCCGCACGCCGCCCCCAGCTCACTCATACATACATACATACCTGCATGCGTGCATGCATACATACATACATGCATGCATGTATGCATGCATGCATACATACATACCTATACTTTCTATATACATATAAAATCCGCGGCCCCGGAGGCCCCTTGGGGGTAGCTGTTCGCCCCGGCTCCATTTATGATAGCCCTTGGGACCGATTAGAACGCGGGCCCCGCAGTGGGCCTCCTGGGAGGGCCGAGGGCGAGGAGAACCGCCTGGCCAGAAAAAAACCTTCCGCAGGTCTGGGACCTCCAGGCCTCCCAAGCCGGACGAAGGGGGGGATTTGGAAAGGGGGTGGGGAGGAGGAGGAGGAGGAGGAGGAGGAGGAGGAGGAGGCAGAGGAGGAAGAGAGAAGGAGGAGGAGGAGGAGGAGGAGGAGGTAGGAGGAAGAGGAGGGGAGGGGGGGGAGGAGGAGGAGGAGGAGGAGGAGGGGAGGAGGAGGAGGAGGAGGAGGAGAGGAGGAGGAGGAGGAGGAGGAGGAGGAGGAGGAGGAGGAGGAGGAGGAGGAGGAGAGAGGAGGAGGAGGAGGAGGAGGGAGGAGGAGGAGGAGGAGGAGGAGATGAGGAGGAGGAAGGAGCGAGGAGGAGGAGGAGGAGGAGGAGAGAGGAGGAGGAGGAGGAGGAGGAGGAAGAGAGGAGGAGGAGGAGGGGGAGGAGGAGAAGGAGGAGGAGGAGGAGAAGAGAAGAGAAGAGAAGAGAAGAGAAAGAAGAAGAAGAAGAAGCAGAAGAAGGAGGAGGAGGAGAAGAAGAAGAAGAAGGATAATCATAATAATGATAATAATAACAAGAAGAAGAAACATAAGAAGAATAAGAAGAAGAAGAAGAAGAAGAAGGAGGAGGAGGAGGAGGAGGAGGGGGAGGCGGAGGAGCTCTGCCGCACACAGCCGGTCTCGGCCCCGCCGCCGGGCCCCTTCCTCGACGCATGCATGGGCGCCCCCCGGCCCCAGGCGGCGCCAGGGAAGCCAGCTGGGTGAGCTGATTCTCTACCCTCCTGCCTGCTCCCCCCCCTCCACAAATTACTCAATATGAATACTATCTCCCTCTTCCCCTGATGACGTGCTGGGAGTGTTCGCCCCCCCCCCCCCCCCCGCGTCCTGCTTTTTTTACACAGGATTCCCGGGAGTTGGGTTTTCGCCTGCATTTGTTTCAAAATGCTGCTCTCACTGAGGCGCGGGCCTCATTTTCGGGCCCCGCTCGTTCCGAATCGTGCTCCCGCTGCAGCGCTGGCCTCATTTCCGTGCTTCCGCTCGTTCCGAATCGTGCTCCCGCTGCAGCGCTGGCCTTATTTCCGCGTTTCCGCTCGTTTCGACTCGTGCTCCCGCTGCAGCGCTGGCGTCATTTCCCGTGACATGCCACGGCATGCGATGCAATGCTAGGTTGATACTACGCTATGCGGTGTTCTTCTACGCCATGCCATGCCGTGCTCTACAATGCATCGCGTACCCTTTCGGGATCATTGCCCTGCTCGACATCCGACTGTGCGAGTAGAAAGGGGATCTGCGCCATGGTAAGGGATGGGAGGGAGGGGTAGGATGTCAGATATGACGCGAGCGCACCTAGCTTGCCCTCCTCCCCCTCCTCCCCCTCCTCCCCCTCATCCCCCTCCTCCCCCTCCTCCCCCTCCTCCTCCTCCTCCTCCTCCTCCCTCCCTCCATCCCTCCCTCCCTCCCTCGCTCCCCTCCTCCCTCCTCCCTCTCCTCCCCCTCCTCTTCCCTTTCCCCCCTTCGATGGCAAATCATGGGAGCCTGGTCTGCCCTCTTAACACGGTCTCTGGCGTCGGCTCGCGTCGATGAGCGTCTGCAGTCGATGAGATAGCGCCGATGTAGCGTCGATGTGGCGTCGATGCGGCGTCGATGTAGCGTCGATGCGCGTCGATTCAGCGTCGATGAGCGTCGATTCGCAGGAGCCGATAAGATGGTATGGGAGGCTTCCATGAGTTGCCACCGAACCTACCCCACCCTTTCGTCCCCCCGACACGCTGGCGAAGTGCCGAACGAGCGTCGCCTCCCAGGGCCCGGCACGTGCCGACCGTCCAGTTTCGATACGCCCCCGGTGCTCGAGATATCTCCTGGTGGTCAGGGCTATAGCGTAGCTTGGAACATCGTAATCCTACCCTTTGCTACCCAGGCCCCCGGCGTCGTGACTTTTTGACAAGGTCGACCCCCAGAGGTCTGGACCCCTTCCCAGGGACCGCTTGCTCACGCCCGGCAAGGGCCCCCGGAGGCCGAACGTAGCGAGAAACTTCCCGTCGTGACTTCCTTCACGACGCGAGGGGGCCTGGGCTCGTCGCCCCCCCCCCCCCCGGAGCAGGCCTCCCAGAGATGTCTGTCGCCGCGGGCTCGGCGAGGGCGCTCCGCTCCGCCGGGCGGCGGGCGGCGCTGCCGCGGCGCTTCGGCGCCGCGCTGCGCCATGCGCCCCCGTGCGCGTGCGCGCGCTGCGCCGCGCCGGCGCTGGCCTCCGCGGCCCGCCACGTGCACTCCTCGGCGCAGAGGCCCCTCCTACAGGAGGAACTTTCAAAAGCAATGGTGTTGTCCTTGATTCGAACGAGATGGGCACGGAAAGAATGGGTACGATGCCCAACAGCAGTTCCTGTTCAGTTTGAACAGGGGTCGCTGTCCGCGCCGCCGCGGCCTGTGTCCATTTGAGACAGAAGGCCGCCTGCCCAACAGCGGCCGCTGTTGGTTCGGGACAACATTTGCTGTTGGGCATTGTGCCCATTGTTTCCGTGCCCATTTCGGGCGTCCAAATTGATACATACATAAATACAAAACATTAAACATGGGAATGATGTGTTGGACAATGGACGACGTTCTGATTACGTGTCACTTCCTTCCAAGACCCGTCTGTGGGAGTCGGACGTGCCCGACCCAAGGGCAGGGGCAACGTTGACCTCACGTGCACTCCCCGGCGCAGAGGTCACTCAGACCTCCTCGCGTCGCGAACAAAAAAACACGACGGGAAGCTTTTCGCTATGTTCGGACTCTGGGAGCCCTCACCGGGCCTCGGGGCCGTCAAAAAACGACTCGGGATGAGAAACCAGTCCCGGGGAATGGGGTCGAGACATTTGGGGCCGACGCTGCGAAAAGATCACGACGTCGGGGGTCTGGGCAGGGGCGACGTTGACTTCAGGAGATCTTTAGTTTTGGTCCCCCCCCTGCTTCTCTCGGCGGGGAAGCACTCTTCCCTCATCCTCCTCGTGCTCCTCCTCCTGCTCCTCCTGCTCCTCCTCCTCCTCCTCCTCCTCCTCCTCCTCCTCCTCCTGCTCCTGCTGCTCCTCCTCCTCCTGCTCCTCCTCCTCCTCCTCCTCCTCCTCCTCCTCCTCCTCCTCTTCCTCCTCCTCCTCCTCCTCCTCCTCCTCCTCCTCCTCCTGCCCCTCCTCCTCCTCCTCCTCCTGCCCCTCGTGCCATTCCCAAGGAGGTCGTCTTCCTCGCTCGGTCGCTGCCCCTCCGCCGCGGTGTCTTTCCTCTGGCCCTCGCTCGCGCGTCTTCCTGCCGGGCCCTCGCTCGATCCCGTGGCTGCCCCGGGAGCTGCGCCTCGCCGGGGGCCCTCCCCCGGAGGGGTGCCCGGCTCGTCCCGAGCGGCCGCCGGAGCGCCGAGCTGCGGCCCGGAGGCCCGGGGGGGCAGCGCTGGAGGGTGGTGGGCTTGCGTCGGGCATGGCCCTAGTGCAGTCGTGGAACAGCATGTCTTAGCTGTGAGCCCAAAGGCCTGGGGGGGGGGCAGCGCTGGAGGGTGGTGGGCCTGCGTCGGGCACGTCCCTCGTGCACGTCGTGGAGCAGCAGTCATGTGGACGGCGTCTCATCATGTCGGACCATCTGGGTGATCTGTTGTCGGCGATTGTCGATGTCCTTCCAGAGTCCGCCTGTGGGAGGACATGCACGTCCTGGCGACAGGCGCAGGAGGGGGCGCATGGACCCCCAATCGCCCATTCGTCGCCGACAGTGGTCCGACAGCCCACCCCGCCCAGGAGCGGTGCGGATGCGCCATCGGGGGGGCCCATCGCCGACGTGTCCGCGATGTGTCGCCGATTCCACGTCGACGTTTCCCCCACCCCACCCCCTGAGCCAGTCCACCCCCTGTCGTTGCTCCTCAAGAGGGCAGCTGCCAAGATGAGCCCAGCGGAGCTCACGAAGATCCTGAGCGACCGCATCTCGAACTTCTCGGACCAGCAGGACGTCCAGGAGGTGGGCCGCGTCCTGAGCGTCGGGGACGGGATTGCCCGCATCTACGGCCTCAAGGGCGTGAAGGCCGGCGAGATGGTTGAGTTCTCCAGCGGCCTCAAAGGCATGGCGCTGAACTTGGAGACGGACAACGTCGGTGTCGTCGTCTTCGGCGACGACCGCGCCATCGTGGAGGGGGACAGGTTCAGGAGGGAAAAAAACACACAGACACAATGAATCCTCGATTCCCCAGAAAGTATGGGAAAATATGGGAGTTGGGCGGGAAGACAGAAACCTAGAAAAAATGTATAGGAAAATATGGGGCATCCTTTCATTTGTGGGTATTTCTCTGTGTGCCCGTGGGCCCCTTGACAGGTGACTTTTTTGGGGGGTCTGGCGAACCAAGGGTCATCAGGCCTGCCCCCGCCCCCCGCCTCCGGATCACCTGACCTGGTCGGTTGCGCAGGTCCGACGGGGTACGCGGTGCGGGAGCGCGCGAGCACATGTCAGGAGAGAAAGACACACACAGACACAATGAATCGTCGACTCCCAGGAAAATGTGGGAAAATACGGGAAGTGGGCGGGAAGACAAAAACCCAGAAAATATTGGAGAATATCGGGGATCCTGTTAGTTGTGTGTGTATTTATTTGGGTGTCCCAGGGCCCCTTCAATATGTCGGGCTGCCCAGAGCGAAAAGGCTTGGTCATCGGCCGGCACCTCCCCCACCACTGGCTAACTGACCCGGGCTATATCGCAGATGTGTTAAAAGGAAAACACCCAGAGATCCGACGTCGTGATTTTTGTCAATGCGGGGTCCCCCATGTCTCGACCCATTCCCCAGGACCAGCTTCTCATCCTGAGTCGTTTTCTGTCGGCCCCGGGGCCCGGCGAGGGCCCCGAGAGGCCGAAAGTTTAGAAAGCCCTTCGCCTGGATTTTGTCCAAGACGTTGGACCTCTGGGAACGACCCCCAGCGTCAAGTGCACCGGCACCATCGTGGACGTGCCCATCGGTGACGCGCTGCTCGGCCGCGTGGTGGACGCGCTGGGCACCCCCATCGACGGGCAGGGCCCCATCGCCACCAAGGAGCGGCGCCGCGTGGAGCTGAAGGCGCCCGGCATCATCCCGCGGCAGAGCGTGCACGAACCCATGACCACCGGGCTCAAGGCAGGGGCTCCTCCTCGGCCACACGCAGACCCAGACAATTCAGTCGGGCCTCTCCCTCGACAGGAGGAAGATTCAAGAAGAGTCAAAGCATGCCTAGGGAACGAGTGGCTGCATACTTTCGACTGTGTTTGGAGCATTTGTTGCTATCAATTGTATTTCTCGTCCAAAATCCGCCTGTAGGGCGACATGCCCGACCGAGGTCCAGATCCCCGACGCAATGATTGTTTCAAAACGTCGACCCCCAGAGGTCTGGACCCCTTCCCCGAGACCGATTCTTCATCCCGAGTCGTTTTGCTGACGGCGTCTGGGGGCCCGGCAAGGGCCCCCAGAGGCCGAAGGTGGGGCAAACCCTCCCGCCATGACTCCTTCATGCCCCGCAGGAGGTCTGGGAGGCGGGCCTAGGGGCCGATCCTGGGCCTCGGGCCTGAGTGCACTGCGCCTCCCCGGCCGGCCCGACGCCCGCCGGCGCGGCCGCTTCCATTCCATCCGCGGCGCCGGCGAGGTCCCGGCCGCTTCCCCGGGGGGGGCACTGCAGGGGTCGGTTCGACTTGCAGCAGCTTCGGCCACGCGCCCCGCGGGGGGGAACGGGGAGGGCGGGAGGCCTCTTGGAGGCACCCCTGCTGCTGAGAAGGAGCGGGCTGGATCTGCAGACGGGAGGCCGGCGCCTTCCGGCAAGCAGCCTCCGTCCATGAAGCTGTCACCCTCCCCCTGATGATTCCTTTGTGCGCGCCGCCAATCATTTCGACTTTCTCCGTTTCGGTTCGCTTTCGATCGATTCCGCTTCCCGACCTCGGATTCCGATCTGGACTTCGGAGTCGACAGAGGGAGCAGCAAAACCACAGGTACTCGGAGCTCCGCGCGGATTTCCACCGGCGCCAGAGCCCCCAGGCGGCGCTGCTGGCGCCGCCCCTGGGCGCGCTCCGCGCGCCAGGGAGGGGGGCCCCGCGTCGATCATCCAAAAGACATCCGCGCGGACCTCCAGCAGTTTATGCCTGTGTCGTTCGTTGTTCCTCCCAGAGGCCGTGGACAGCCTCATCCCGATCGGCCGTGGGCAGCGCGAGCTCATCATCGGGGACCGGCAGACGGGCAAGACGGCGATCGCCATCGACACCATTCTGAACCAGAAGTCGATCAACGCATCCGAGGACAAGAAGGCCCACCTCTACTGCATCTACGTTGCCGTTGGCCAGAAGCGCTCCACCGTGGCTCAGCTGTTCGAGATCCTCCGCAAGAACGACTGCCTGAAGTACACCACCATCGTCGCCGCCACGGCTTCCGATGCTGCCCCGCTGCAGTTCCTGGCGCCATACACTGGCTGCGCCATGGCCGAGTACTTCCGCGACACCGGCAAGCACGCCGTCATCTTCTACGACGACCTGTCGAAACAGGCGGTGGCCTACCGCCAGATGTCGCTGCTCCTCCGTCGGCCCCCTGGCCGCGAGGCCTACCCCGGCGACGTGTTCTACCTGCACTCGCGCTTGCTGGAGCGCGCTGCCAAGATGAACGAGGAGACAATGGGCGGTGGCTCGCTCACCGCACTCCCGGTGATCGAGACGCAGGCCGGGGACGTGAGCGCCTACATCCCCACCAACGTCATCAGCATCACCGACGGCCAGATCTTCCTCGAGACCGAGCTCTTCTACAAGGGCATCCGGCCCGCCGTCAACGTCGGCCTCTCCGTGAGCCGCGTGGGGTCTGCCGCGCAGATCAAGGCGATGAAGCAGGTCGCAGGCACCCTGAAGCTTGAGCTGGCGCAGTACCGCGAGGTGGCGGCCTTCGCGCAGTTCGGCTCGGACCTGGACGCGTCCACGCAGCACCAGCTCCTCCGCGGCGGCATTCTGACGGAGCTGCTGAAGCAGAAGCAGTTTGTGCCGATGACGACGGCCGAGATCATCACATCCCTGTGGTCGGGCACGCGCGGCTACCTGGACAAGATCGCCACGAAGGAGATCCTCCGCTTCGAGGCCCTCTGGCTGGACCACGTGAAGAGCACCAAGAGCCACATCCTCGACACCATCATGACCAAGAAGTCGATCACCGAGGAGGTCGAGTCTGGGCTCAAGTCGGCCATGGACGAGTTCCTCGGCATGAACGAGTTCGAGGGCCGGGCCTCGTGAGGGAGCCGCGCGCTGGGCGCGCGGGCCGCGCGGCGCGGGGCCTTCGTTTCCGCACGGCCGCCCCTCCACCCCCCGCCGGGGTCGGGGGAGGCGGCTGGCGAGGCTCACTGTGCATGCCGTGGTTCGGGCGATCGCAAACATGGATCCAGGGGGCGTGGATTAGCGACGGGTCCCGTTTCCATGGGAAGTCGCGGATTTCCGCCGCCGAGCGAGGCGGCACCGGCCGCAGTTTGGGGAGGGCACCTCTCCCGATCTATGGATTTGGCGACCGCGCGCCAAATCCATGGATCGCTAATCCATGTTTGCGCGCCCCCGAATGGTGTTCGCGGCTCGGCTTGCTTCGACTGCGTCGCAGTCGGTCGCCTTCGGTCGGTGCTCTTCGGTCGGTCCTCGCGTCGCTGCCGCGTCGATGCGCGCCCCTCCTTGCCGCTCGCAGCTGGCCGATGTCGATCGCTTCTGGCTTCGCTGTCGCTTCGGTTGCTTTCGCTTCTGCTGCCGCCGTGGGCGGCCTCAGTCAAGCAGTGGCGAAGCGTCCTGGCTCGCCTATAGCCCTACCAAAGAATGTTCTAAGAACCTTTTGTGGTTCCCACGAAATTGTCTTAGAACATTTCTGGCGGAGACTGTCTTGTTTTATCGCATCGGGCTATTGTTCTAAGAACATTGTTGTTGTTCTTAGAACGTTTTTGGGTTCTAAGAGCATTTCCTGGCAGGACCTTAGGAATGCCAGGACGGTCGGTCCCTGCTCAACTCGGTGTGGCATCCTCCTCTCCCCCAGCATACGGGAGGCTCCGCCGCCGGCGCGCGGGCATCATATATTTTTGCCTCGGCGTTCGGCCTTGGTGTGGTATTGTCCTCCTCCCCGGCGTGCGGGTCTGGTAGCCTCGTCCCCGTCCTCCTGCTCCTCCTGCTCCTTCTCCTCCTCCTCCTCCTCCTGCTCCTGCTCCTCCTCCTCCTCCTCCTCCTCGCTCCTCTTCCTGCTCCTGCTGCTCCTCTTCCCCGTCCTCCTGCTCCTCTTCCTGCTCCTGCTCCTCTTCCTGCTCCTGCTCCTCCTCCTCCTCCTCCTCGCTCCTGTTCCTCCCGCACCAGTCACGATGAAGGCCTGGGCGGTTCTGACGTTTTTGGAGGATAACCATGAGTTCCTTTTGGATTCCGATGGATAAATCCTGAGGGTTCCCATGGATTTCTCAAGGTTCTGGTGGATTTCTGAGGACTCCAAGGAATTCCTGCGGATTCCTAAGGACTCCTGCGGGCTCTTAGGGGTTCCTCGTTTGGGATTATTTAGTGAGGAATCCCTAGCAAGGACCAGCAGTCCTTACCAAGGACTCATTATCCAGAATACCTTCTAAAGAGTTCCTGAGAAAGGATTCCTTATTAAGAGTTCCTTAGATTCCTCAGTAAGGATTCCTTACAAAGGATTCCTTACTAAGGGTTCCTCCCTAAGCAATCTGAATCAAGGATTCCTCATTAAGAATGTCTTACCAAGGAGTCCTGATTAAGGATTCTCTCCTATGCATTACTTACCAAGGATTCCTCACTAAGGAATCCTTACTAAGGATTCCTCAGTAAAGGGTTTCTCATTAAGCATGTCTCACTCAGGATTCCCCACTGAGGACTCCTTAGTACGGATATCTTTACTGAGAGTTCTTAACTAATCCGCATTAAGAGTTCTATTCCAAGGATTCCTTACCAAGGGCCCCTTATTAATGGCTTGAGGATTCCGCACTAAGGGTTTCATTCTAAGTATTGATTGATGATTACGAACGGTTATGTAAGAAGGACTCCGGATCGAGCCCCTATTTTTACGAATGGTTCTTGATTAAGAATTCATGTCAAGGGTTCCTTACAAAGGAATCCGTTTTGAAAGAGCTCCTCATCAAGGATTGTGCACTCAGGGCTCGGTTTAAAGGACTCATGGTTAAGGCTCTTGACACAGGGATCCGTGGGGAAAGATTCCTTAGTGAAGGTTCCTTACTAATGATTCTTCGCGAAGGACCCCTTATCCAGGATTCCTCACTGAGGATTCCTTACAAAGGGCTCCTCACTGACGGTTCCTCACAAAGGATACCTCACTCAGGATTCCTCTCTAAGAATTCCGTAGTGAGAGTTCCTCACCAAGGATTCCTCACTAAGGATTCCAGACTACGGATTCTCACTAAGGGTACTTCACTAAGGATTCCTCAGTAAGGATGCCCGTTCCAGAGACTCCTCACTTAGGATTACTCACTAAGGCCCTTCCTGTCATAGGTGAATGTGGAGGAGGACGAGCAGGGGGAGGACCCCGCAGTGGGGCGGAATCCATGGGAGTGCCAGAACTGTTGGACAACCGTTTATATCTTTATATTAATGCTATGAGTTTTGGCAACGTTCCCGTGGCCATCGCCGAAATTCTCCCGAAATCATGCGTTTTGTGTTTTGAATGTTTGTGTTGTGGTTTCTTCCCACTGTCTTGTGGCTATTGGTCGCGTTTTCGGCGAGAGAGGCTCGAAAACGCCAACGCCGTCCAGGCCTTCACCGTGCCTGGCGCCCCTCCCGCACCTCCTCCTCCTCCTCCTCCGCCTCCTCCTCCTCCCCCTCCCCCCCTCCTCCTCCTCCTCTTCCTCCTCCTCCTCCTCCTCCTCCTCCTCCTCCTCCTCCTCCTCCTCCTCCTCCTTAGTATGGTGTCCTCCCCCTCTGGGAAGGGCCTCCGCCGGCGTGCGGGAGGGGCTCGCCCTCGCGCTTGGGCACGGCGGCACGCCTCGCGCGCGCGGCCCGTGTGCGGCGCGGATGCTTTAGGATCACCGTGTTGGCGCTGCGGCAGGTCAGGGGGAGGGAGATGGGAGCGAGGAAGAGGAGGAGGATGGGGACAATGATGAGGAGGATGGGGACAATGATGAGGAGGAGGAGGAAGAAAGGAGGAGGAGGAGGAGGAGGAGGAGGAGGAGGAGGAGGGAGCTCGGAGGAGGAGGAGGAGGAGGAGGAGGAGGAGGAGGAGGAGGAGGAGGAGGAGTGGGGAGGGATGCTCGAAGATGGAGGAGGGGGAGGAGGGGCAGGAGACGAAGGAGGGTCAGTAGCATGAGGCAGACGAGGAAGAGTAGGAGGAGGAGGAGGAGGAGGAGGAGGAGGAAGAGGAGAGGGGGGGAGGCCGAGGAGGAGAGGAGGGATGTGGAGGGGCGGACCTCTGTCTTTTCCCTCTTTCTCTCTTTCCCTCCCTCTTTTCCCTCTGTCTTGTCCCTCTCTCGTTTCTCTTTCCCTCTCTCCCTCTCTCTGTCTTTTCTCTTTTCTCTGTCCCTTTTGTCTCTGTCTTTTCCCTTCTCTCTCTTTCCCTCTCTCCCTCTCCTGGGCACCCTGGAGCGCGTGAAGTCTCACCGTGCCGCCGGCACGTTCAGGCCAGCCTGCCTCGATCGCTCGGCTCGCTGTGGCGCGTGGAGGGACGGCAGGAGGGGGACGCGGCGCCTGCTGCCACCCCCCCCCGACTCCTCCCGTTGGCACCGCTCGGACGTGCGCGCGTTCCTCGTCGAGGGCCACCAAGGAGCATCTTGGAGCATCTCTGTAAGAACGGTTTTTTGAAGGCAGATCTGCCTTCAAGGAGGAAAGACTGGTCTACTCTGTAAGAACGGTTTTTTGAAGGCAGATCTGCCTTCAAAAAACCGTTCTTACAGAGTAGACCAGTCGTTCCTCGTCGAGGGCCACCAAGGAGCATCTTGGAGCATCGTGGAGCACGAGCGCACGAGACCGAAAAAGGGATGCACGGGGCACGGACGGCCGAGCGCTGGCGAGCCCCGCCAGGAGACCTACCAGCGGAAGACGCAGCTCGAGCACGTGCTCCTGCGGCCCGACTCCTACGTAGGCCCCCCCCCCCCCCCCGCGGCCCTCGCGCGCCGGCCTCGGCGCGGCCCCCGCTGCTTCGACTCCTCCACGCGCTCTGAGAGGACTCGCGATGGCTGCCCAGACCTCCTCAACGCGCTCTGAAAGGACTCGCGATGGGTCGTGGGAGAATCGATGCGGGAGGTGTCCTTCTGTTTTTGGCCTCTGGGGGCCCCACGCGCTCTGAAAGGACTCGCGATGGCTGCCCAGACCTCCTCCACGCGCTCTGAGAGGACTCGCGATGGGTCGTGGGAGAATCGATGCGGGAGGTGTCCTTCTGTTTTCGGCCTCTGGGGGCCCATACCGGGCATCGGGGGGGTCAAAAAAAGGACGCAGGATGAAAATCCGGTCCCGGGGAACGGCTCGAGGCCTCTGGGGGTCGAGCGTCTGCAAAAAAATCGTTACGGCTGGGGCCTGGGTTGTTCGCGTGACTCCAGGCCACCCGCTGCTCGCTACGCAGCCGCGCTCTGGTGCCATCCCACACCTCGTCGGCACGCCCCGCGATGGTCTGCACGATCCGAGCGGCTCTGCCTTCTCCTCCCTCCTGCTCTCCCCGCGTTCCGCCGTGCCCCCCACTCGCTTCCGGTGCGTCCCGCCCTTGGCCCGACCGGCGCCTGCGCTCGCTCCGCCCCTCCTCCTCCTCCTCCTCCTCCTCCTCCTCCTCCTCCTCCTCCTCCTCCTCCTCCTCCTCCTCCTCCTCCTCCTCCTCCTCCTCCTCATCCCCCCTCCCCCTCCCCCTCCCCCTCCCCCTCCCCCTCCCTCCTCCTCCTCCTCCTCCTCCTCGGCTCGCTTGCGCCCGCTGGGTTCAAAATTCGTTCGTTCGCATGAGGCCGTGCTCTTGACATCTCGGGGCTCTGCCCTGCGCGGCTGACTGGCGGCACCGCACTCGAGTGCGGCGAAGGCGGCGGAGCGACGGACGCGGCGCTGGAGTGGGGCAGCGCGGCAGCCGGGGATGGCGGAAGCGGCGGCGGCAAGGCCACACCCTGACGCGAGCCGCCAATTTGGCCGAAGAGCTCGCTGCCGGACTCCAGTGCGATCGCCTCCGCGGTTGGGTCGATTGGTCTGCAGGTCGGCCCGTTGGCTGGCTGGCGGGCTGGTTGGCCAGCAGGCGTCTTGGCAGGTTGGTTGCCTGTCTGGCTTGTTGGCGGCATCGGTCAGAAGGGGGATCGACATGAGGAGTCGGAGCCAAGGGCGCGCTTCATGAGGCACCGTGGCGCCGCACGCGCTGAAACATCGCATCTTGCAGGGGACGTCGGTGAGCGAGCGCGCGCGGGCCCACTGTCGCTTAGGCCGCGGACCCGTTGTCTCTCGTCGGCGAGACACCGTGGCCATTGCAGCGCAGACCTGGTCGCTTTTTGCGGAGGGGCTGTGTCCTGCGTGTGACGCGGAGCGCGCGACGACCCTTCTTTGGGCATAAAAACAGCGCCGGCGGTTGGGCCGTCGAAACAGCGGCGCCCTGTCGCGTTGCCATGTTGGGCTCCTGGGGGTCCCAGGGGCATGCGAGACGGCCCCCACAAGGCTTTCAGACAGCTCGGGAAGGCACAGCAGCGGCGCAGAGCGTCACGACCGCGCAGCGGACTCCAGGACGGCTGTTGCGCACGGGGGCGCCTGCGCCAGCGCTTCCCGCCGTGCCCGAAGTCGGTTTTACATGGGATCGTGGCTTTGTGGGCGCGGAGCCATGTTTTCTTCGTGCAATGGATCGTGGCCGTGGGAGCGCGGACCAATCTCTTCGACACTCTGACCACTCGCGGGGCGCCTGGTCCAGGGGCGTTGGCGCCGTATCTGACATCCTACCCCTCCCACCCATCCCTGACAATGGGTTGATTGTTCCTCTATCCGGCGACGTTTTTCATGGCGGACCTGGAGGTGGGAGGGAAGACTTCGGGATGCCGTCCCGGCCGCGGCATAAAGGCCCTTTGCCTCCCCAGCGCTTAGGAGAACAGGGCGGGGGGACGTTCAGTCAATGTTTGCGCCTGCCGTTTTCGTGTGCTCCGTTACTGTCATGTTCCCCTTCCTCTTCTGCTGTTTGCTTTGTGTCTTTGCAGTGCTTATGTGTTTCAGTAGATTTCAGCTTACAGCTTGTTGTTTTCACTGTTACCTGGCATTGCACATGAGACTGGGTTGCTCTATCGCCAGAGCAAGAAAAAGGGACCTGGAGGTCCCAAAATAGCCCATCGTGTTTTGCACAATTGGACAAAAAAAGAGAGCTGCGCACATTGGAGGAGGAAGAGGTGGAGGAGGTGGAGGAGGTGGCGGATGAGCAAGAGGATAAGCAGGAGAGGGAGCAGGAGGAAAAGGAGCAGGACGAGGAAGGAGGGGGACGACGACGAAAAGCAGTAGCGTGAGCTGGAGGTTGGAAGGAGCGGGGGTGGGGGGGGGCAAGAGGACCAGGGGAAGGCGGCGGAGGGGAACGAGGAAGGGGGCAGCGACAACATTGAGGAAGGACCCGGAGCCAGAAAATTGGCCCGCGCTGCGGCGAGAGCGCCATCCAGAACGACGGGAGCCTGGCGCCGATCCTAAAATGATGCCCGCGCTGCATGTTGGAAGGACCGGAAGGCTCGAATTGAAAAGGCGCACGAGCAAAGCCAAGTCGTGCCCATTCCGTGTGCAAAAGCAGTAAGCGGAGCGCGCCACTCTCAGGACAGTCTTGGGGGGATTGGGAGGAGAGCAGCATTCATATTGTCAATGGTGTGACTGTGGAGGTGTAAACAGCTCCCCAAAGAAATGAAGGGGGTTCAGGAGGAAGCGCAAAATAACCACCTCCGCCCAGAGAGCTGGCGGGATTATGGAAACGCAAAGAGTGTTATGCATGATTGCATATAGAGAGATGGGGTGTGCACAAATGCATAGACATATACGTATATATATATATGTATATACGTGATGCATCTACATACATATATATACACACAAACGTATACGTAGACGTATGCATATAAACATACATATACATAGACATGGAAATATATACAAATAGAGAAAGAGAGAGAGAGGCATATCATACATAAGTTGCATGTATGCATTATCCAGCGCGGGTCCCGAATTGTGTGGTCCTAGCCATCAATATCGTGCGACCTGCGTGAAGCAAAATACGTGGTGCAATCTATATTGCGCAGTTCCTGCGGTTTAACCTATGTGGTGCAGCATGCGTGGCTCGCTCCAGCTTGGGCCACTTATGTTGTGCAGCAGACGTATTTCGAGCCACCTTGTGTAGTTCAGGCGGTGCGTATATTCTGCGTGGAGCAAAAGATTTGTGGTGCGGTCTATGTGGCACAAGTAAGTTTGAACAAAAAGCGTGGAGTTGTCAACTACACTGCCCGCGCAATCATCCCACCCACCCACCCGCAACTTGGCTTGTAAAACCCATGCGGCTGCGATTGCGATGAGTGATTGGTGTCGGTTGGTGCATTTCTACGGCGTGCTAGCCCGCGCATGCCCGTGCGCACAGCGGCCAGCTACTTTGGCGCGGCCGACGCGGCCGCGGTGGCATTGACCGCCGGGCACTTCCCAGCGGGCACATCAGTGCGAGTTGGTGGGCGGGCGCGGTATCATGGCGACGTCGACACCGGTTGGCACGATGATGATAGTAGCGATGCTGGTGACGGGAGGGGAAGGGGGATCCTATTGTGTAACAAAGCGGAGTCTAGTCTACGTTGTGCATGCTATTTGGTGCGTTCGACGTTGTGCAATCTACGTGGTGCAATCTATGTGGCGCGATTGATGTGCCGTAGCCATTTTGGCTCAAGACCATGGCGCCTTCCCGTCGGGTGCGAGTTTCGACGAGGTTTTCCGACCACGGAAGATGTTGGTCGGAGCCAGAACCGCACGATCGCTTTCAATCGCCCAACTGTGGGTTGGCATCGGCGCAAGGGGTGCGCGGATGGCGGGCAGCTGTGTTGGCGCTGAAAGCGGCAGGGGGGCGAAGCGACAGAGGAATCCCGACGGGGTCCTCGATTTCAGCTGCAG